TTCCCTACCTGCAGTAACTTCCCTGCTGAAGGAAAACCCAGTGCATGTGAGCATGTGCACACACACTGTGTATGATGGCTATAAAACTACTGGACATAATCTAAAATAAGTCTGCAATCTGTATGAGGAGCTGATAGTGCACAAACCCTGAAGCATCAAGGGAGCAATACCCTAGCAAAGCTAACAGCAGCAGCAAAGTTTTCTTTTCCTTTCTCTGAAATAAATCCTGCTAGATGTCACCGAATGCTCTGCTATGTGATCCTCTGTGTCCTGCATCCCTCCCATTTAATGATAGAGGGGTATGTGAGCTAGCAAGATGGGATCAGGGCAGAAGGAGGCTAGAAGAGGGATTTGTGTGTGTGTTTGTGTATATATGTGTACTGCTTCTTTCAGCTCCTGTGTTCTGGGTTGTTTTGATCCCAGAATATCCATTCAGCAGCTTCCATTCCCCAGCTCTCCAGACTTGTTAACTCGCATGTAAGATTTATCCACATGGAGTAATAGGATTTACAGAGTAATTCATCTCCCTTGCATATGCTACGGAAGGGGTTTAGATGCGACATGGTAAACACCTAACAAGGGGTGTTGCCTCCGACTCCCAGATTCTCTCCTCTCCCTTCCACTCACTAGCAATTCATATATCCCATTAACCCTTTTCTAGCAGGACTCCCAGCTGACTTATCGCATTTATAAAGGCAAATCACTTCCATCAATCATTAATTTTGGAGGGGCTGCTCAGGCAGATGTTTGCCGGCGTATGTTTGGTATATACAGCAGCAGACAGGTCATTAAGCTCACTTGCACAGACAGGGGTCACTGGATTTCTATTTCCTACTTAACCTTGGAGCTTTGGAGTTTATCTAGACTCTCTGTGCTAAAGCTGCCTTTGCAGCAGAGAGGGCTGAGTGGATGGTGGAGATGGTGCCTGCATGTGCTGTAAAGCATCCGTCAGCAAGCTCAGTGGGGCTGTATGGGAGAGTGGTTTCCGTGATAGTGTGTGGCTTGCCAGTGTTATGTCAGGCACTGAAATAAAGCACCTGGGTGAGGTGATCCAGTTGTGTCAGCCAGATGTGCGCCAAGTGACAGAGTTAGGAGCAGCACACTGCCTGGCCATGGAACTGCTTGCCCTGAGCAATGTAATGTGTTCCTGGCAGGCTGTGCTTCTCTCTGAAGCGACTGTGGTGAGTGCACAAGCTTTGCCTTCGCACACTCTTTAGGCAGATCTGGCTGGCTATATGCTTTTCACCTTTCCTAGGAAGGGCAGTTGTCTCCTCTCCCTTTCCCTGGGACCAGCCCCAGGTTTCTGCAACGTTTCTTCTCCTTCAGAGGACATGCAGAGCCAGGCTGTGCTAAGGGACAGAACTGCCACATGGAGCTGGAAGGGGAGAGATTTCCCTCTGTCTTCGACATCTCAGGTCTTGAAGGGTGGCATTTCCCTAAGTTTCTTAAAACAAGGGCTGGTTTGCTTCCCTGACCCTCCAAAAGGTAACTCACTTTAAGACAGCCTTGTGTTTGAAAAACTCCCAGCTTCTCACTCTTCCTGCCTGCAGATCCACTAC